AAATATATATATCTTTATATATATATTTTATTCATATTAAAAAATGTGTACAGAAAGTCATTGTATGCTTGATGCTGGTGGTGCTATAGACACACAAAATAGGTGTATGTATATGGTGCCTGTTATTCCAGTTATTACTATAAAGAGACCCCGATGTTTTCGATGTTTTTGTGGAAGGTCATAGTGGTCCTCTGTGTATGGAAGTGAGACCCCCCTCCTCCCCTTCCCTGTCACGTGATTCATTAAATAATTAATGCAGAGGTTGCAGGATAGATATGTATTCGTCAGGAAAATCGCAGACATGGTCTCCTTGTGTCTGACGTGAAATTCAACTGTCCTTAAAGAACAGCCTATAGCAGATACAGAAGAAGAGAGCAGAGACAGAGGGAGAGAGAGAGAGAGGCTGGCATAAAACAAGTGGGATCAGAGCCACACCGTGGGCTGGATTATTGTAAGTAGCGGGGATTCCCTCTGTCTGTCTATGTCCATGTAAATTTATTGTGTCTTATTAATGTTATTGTCGTAAATGGTGACAAATAGCAATCTTCATTTCCTCCCATTCGTCCTCACTTAGAGCTATGTGTGTTTATACCCACAGAGTCGTTCAGACAGGATTTTTAGGATTATTCCCATACAATCCCCTTGATTTATGACAATAGAGGTGTCAGCACGGTGCTGCTGATGCCATTGTGTGTTTGTGGGAGAGTTGTGTTGTTTATGATGCTGTCCACACGGAATAATTTCTCAGGATCAGCATCTGATGAGAATCTCAAATGTGCAGAGAGATTTCTAAGCTTTCCATCCACCCCTATCCAGGATCATTTGCCATACCCCGGCAGCTAATAGGAACATTACCAGCCTGGGGTCTCACATTACAGCACTACAAGTATGCAAGGGTGGAGCCATTGTTGTTTATTAAAGTTTAAACTTTTCTGCCATTTCGCAGACATGAACTATGAGAAGTCCGACAATGCTGGGGAATAATAGCCAGTGAGGAGCAGAGATCTCAGGTAGCTTTTAGAATGTAGCAAGGCTTCCTGTTTTGTCTTTCACTACCTGGCTAGAGATTTGCTCTGCATACATCTAATCATCATTTCATTTATCACAACAAAGACACCAGGTTTCCATGGCTGAGACTATGCAGAACATAGGGCACATACGGGTGCAGTATAAGCATCAAGACCTCAATGCCATGGACCTGCATTATTAGTCCAAGAGGAAGGAGATTTCAGTTCAAGTTGTAGAACTTAAATATTGACTGCACACGAAATCCTCAAGGCTAATGGGAAATATGTATTAACCTGATATAGATAGATAGATAGATAGATAGATAGATAGATAGATAGATAGATAGATAGACAGACAAGACCTACATACAAACATACCTACATTTCAGTGAGTATGGAGTAAAGCTGAGAAGGTGACATGAGTTATTTAATCACTGCTCCAGTCTGTAAACCTGATTGCATTCAAATAAGAAAATCTCTAGGACTGCCATTAAATATTTATGTTAGCTGCAGAGAGAGAACAATATTGGCTGGTAATACAGTAATGTGCCCCACTCCGATACATTACTCCCAGCAACTAAGGCAGTTTACTTAGTGATATATGTTTTTTTTTTTTTTAAAGATACGGGAAATATTTTTCAGTTACTGTAAATTCTGACAAATATTATCGATACAATAATAACAATAATAATAATAATATTAATAACAACAACAACAATAATACAATACACATAA